TTTTTTCATAAATATCAAATATTAGTTCAAAATATTAAATTCAGGTGTCGCATTTCGACCTTGACACTTAGAATATTTCTGAAAAACTCAAGCTTCGCACTTGACTGTAAAGAGAGTACATAAAGCGAGAGATGACGATGGTACAGGAAGAACCACGGGAAAGAGAGGGGTAGAGGCAGATGATGAATAAGAGAGATGTGTATGATACATATTCTTTATTTAAATTCAATATTAATACAATATAGGAATAAAAATAACTTTTATCATCAATAACTCAAATAGCCGAGCGGTTTAAGTGACCGCATACTCGGTGAAATCGCTCTGGAGGCACAAGGTGAGACGGATCGAGTCCAACTGCAGGCAACGACGACCACCACTCTGAAGCAGAAAAAATAGAGCAGTGCTGGTGACTGGCTGTTGGCAGGTGCGGTGGGTCCTGAAAACGAGCACACAAAGTGATGGTCAACCTGAGGTTCATGATGCGACAGGTCACACGCAGAGGGACACTTGCGGAAGATCCATGCCAAACCCGAAAATCTACCCAAAAATGACAACATGCGAAAAAAACAACAACAAAAAAGTGAAAAAAAATGTGAAAAAAAAGCGAAAAAAGGGGAAAAAAAGGGAAAAAGGAGGAGGAGGAGGGAGAAAGGGAGGTGGAGGACCTAAAAAAACCCCCTAAGTCCCAGATCAATTTTTCTCTTTCTGTTCAGCGTTGAAACTTTTTTTGTTTTTTAGTGTTCCCTCACACCAATTCCCAAAACCAACACTCGAATGAAATGAAGTCCACGTTGAAATTTTCACAACGAGAAAAAATTACTGGGACTTAGTTAAAATTTTTAACTTTGCCCCAATAAAATTTTCTCGTTGTGAAATATTCAATGTGAGCCTCATTCATTCGAATGTTGGCTTTGGGATAATACAGCATGCATAAATACTCGTCTGTCTTAATTGAAAAGGTTTCAGAAAATTTGGACTTAGAAAAAAAATTATCTGAAAGGACTTCGAAAAAAAAAAAAATCGAAAGAATTATAATCAGAAAATTTGGACTTAGAAAAAAAATATCTGAAAGCACTTAGAAAAAACAAATTATTCGAAAGAATTATAATCAGAAAATTTGGACTTGAAAAAAAAAATATTCGAGAGAATTATTTAATTAATCGATGAAATGAAATGATATTAATCGAATCAAAATATTTATATGACTTGATAAACATGTGAAACCTTTGCAATTAATCGAGACAAAAACAGTGTGGTTGACTTGAATAATAAACAAATTATTGGAAAAAGCCATGAAAGAAATTCAATAAAACTTGTAAAATGAAATAAACAAAAATGTTCAAAAACTGGAACATTAAAAACTTCAAAACTGTTTAAAGCTGATTTCTATCCTTTAGAAATTGAGTTAAATAATTTTTACAATTTGAATCGAATAATAAACTTGTTAACAAAATTATGTTTTGTCTAATCATTCAAGTCAACTCTTCGAAACTTTGATTGCATGTCTTGATCAAATTGTTTTTATCAATAAAAGAATAAAAATCTATCATTTAGCTATGCAGCAATATAATTGAATAAATTTAAAATAAAATTATGATGAAAAACTTTTAAAACCTGCATTATTCAACAATTTGGTAAGTCATATTGAGTATTGAAATATTTTGATCAAAACCAGCAATCGTGTTATCCATAAATAAAAATGTACATGCTGTCAATATCGCTACAGGGAAAACACATGATTCTTGATACTGAAAATGCAATTTAAAAATTGTTTCCGTGGAATAATAAACAAGAGGTGTAATAGAAAAGCAACAAAGTAAATTTGTAATTTGTAATTTGTAACAAAACCATCAATTTAGGAGTTACCTAAGGTGAAGTGCTAGGACCCCTTCAACAAATAAGTAATCGATGCATACAAAAGCTGTATTGGTTAACTAATAATTTAGTAATAGAAATTTACTATATAAAAATTCTGAATTCAACACAAAGTAAGCTCATAGTGTTATTATAGAACAAAAAATTTCAGATTGACTATTTATGGAATAATAATAATGTAACTTTCAATATCTTTGATACATACAAGAAGTACAAACTTTATTGTTTAATATTGATTTAGAACATGTATAAAAGCCACTTGTATGAATAAATAAAAAAAAGACTGAATCAACATGTTTTTCCCATAACAAATTAAATAAGAACTTAAGTCTTTTACACATATGTCTGCCAAATTAATTTAAAATCTTTTATTCGCATAATAGTTGTTGTTGAATAAACAAAAAATAGATTATATAAGTATACTAAGTAAAAAATGATATTGACTCAAATATTATGATATAAACAATATTTTCAGCAGATATATGTATATAATTTATATTAATAATGCACGAGCCAGAAAATATTCCACTAAAATATATACAAAATAAGAAATATTATTGTTACAAACATAAAAGGTAGCATGTAACACAAACTCGGTCAATAATTGTAAACTCCTTTCAGAAAATAAATTATAAGTAATATCTTTTTATTTTGAAATTGAAATTATAGTTTCACTAAAGATGACAAACAATATTGTGTTGAAGTAAAGATTTTCAAAATCATTTGACTGCTTTAAATTCAAAATTTACAAATATTCTCAAAAAAAAAACGAGTGTTTTTAACGAAATATTAGTGATATGGATATATAAATTATTACAGATAAATAATTTTTGCTTCTCAATTTTATATATAAACCTTTTTTGGATACATTTTTTACTCTTTAGACTGGTACATAATCCATTTCTTTATATTTTTCTAAATAATATGTAATAACCATCATTAATTAATGTTAGTCAATAGTTAAAAAAAACATAGTCTTTGACAGAATAAACCTGATGATGGAACGTATCTAGTTCCAAAACGTCGTTATTAAACATCTTCAAAAAACAAATTGTTTTTTATTATTAGTGTTACTGTTCGGAAAAGAAACAATCAATATACATATATAAGTTAAATATTGAATATTTAAAACAATATAGGTGCAACAGATATAATACAATAAATATCTGTATATAATTCCAGAAAAATATTCTTTGACTCGCTATGTATAAAACATGCTTTACACTTACATTGTTAGATATCCTCTGCAGCAGCTCCCAAACACTAAGTCATTACTCGAACCACCTCTGGAGCATCTACCAGAAATCTCAAGTAGTCAACACAAAATCACTACTTTAGAACCACTACATTACTTTACTTTTTTTATAAGTATATTTGACCTGTTGCAATAGTCCGAGTAAAGTCTTTACACAATACACGACACACAACTTATATTAAAGACATTCGTGAATTTAGAATTCGATAATAACAGATATGTGTTGGAAGTACTTAAATGTAACCTACAAAAGCACATATATAAATTATACTATTGATAATTGCATGTATATAATTAAAGGATACATTGGCACTGTAAATACATGGTTTAATTATAAAACTGATTCAAAATGGAGACCCTGAAAGAGATACTTATCAAACTATTCAAGGTAGTATACTATACAAGGTACTACTCAAGTATATAATTAAAGGATACATTGGCACTGTAAATACATTGTTTAATTATAAAACTGACTCAAAAAGGAGACCCTGAAAGAGATACTTATCAAACTATTCAAGGTACACCTAGGCACTTCCAAACATACCCATTTTTTGGCTTTTAATTAACGTTTTACGATAAATTTATTATATCAAATTGATCTACTAAATTAATTACACGTTTTGATGCATAAATTAATTAAAACTAATCAAAGATTTAATTAAAAAGTCTTAATTAACCCTAGCACATGTTAATACAGGAAATTTTTTTTGACAATTCAGGCGACTGAACTTAGCAACATGAAGTCTGTGGCCACTTGTACCATTTAAAGCGCGAAATTCAAATAGAAATTTAAAACATTGTGAAATTCACCTATTTTAATATATACGGTAGAAAGCAATGTGTTTAGTCTTTGGATATGTGATATGAATATATACGGTAAAAAAGCAAAGTCTTTAGGTGTGTGATAAATAAATTTTTATAAAAAAAATTATAGATTTGAAATATGTACATTTTGCTTTTTACCGTATATATTCATATCACATATCCAAAGACTAAACACATTGCTTTCTACCGTATATATTAAAATAGGTGAATTTCACAATGTTTTAAATTTCTATTTGAATTTCGCGCTTTAAATGGTACAAGTGGCCACAGAATTCATGTTGCTAAGTTCAGTCGCCTGAATTGTCAAAAAAAATTTCCTGAATTAACATGTGCTAGGGTTAATTAAGACTTTTTAATTAAATCTTTGATTAGTTTTAATTAATTTATGCATCAAAACGTGTAATTAATTTAGTAGATCAATTTGATATAATAAATTTATCGTAAAACGTTAATTAAAAGCCAAAAAATGGGTATGTTTGGAAGTGCCTAGGTGTACCTTGAATAGTTTGATAAGTATCTCTTTCAGGGTCTCCTTTTTGAGTCAGTTTTATAATTAAACAATGTATTTACAGTGCCAATGTATCCTTTAATTATATACTTGAGTAGTACCTTGTATAGTATACTACCTTGAATAGTTTGATAAGTATCTCTTTCAGGGTCTCCATTTTGAATCAGTTTTATAATTAAACCATGTATTTACAGTGCCAATGTATCCTTTAATTATATACATGCAATTATCAATAGTATAATTTATATATGTGCTTTTGTAGGTTACATTTAAGTACTTCCAACACATATCTGTTATTATCGAATTCTAAATTCACGAATGTCTTTAATATAAGTTGTGTGTCGTGTATTGTGTAAAGACTTTACTCGGACTATTGCAACAGGTCAAATATACTTATAAAAAAGTAAAGTAATGTAGTGGTTCTAAAGTAGTGATTTTGTGTTGACTACTTGAGATTTCTGGTAGATGCTCCAGAGGTGGTTCGAGTAATGACTTAGTGTTTTGGGAGCTGCTGCAGAGGATATCTAACAATGTAAGTGTAAAGCATGTTTTATACATAGCGAGTCAAAGAATATTTTTCTGGAATTATATACAGATATTTATTGTATTATATCTGTTGCACCTATATTGTTTTAAATATTCAATATTTAACTTATATATGTATATTGATTGTTTCTTTTCCGAACAGTAACACTAATAATAAAAAACAATTTGTTTTTTGAAGATGTTTAATAACGACGTTTTGGAACTAGATACGTTCCATCATCAGGTTTATTCTGTCAAAGACTATGTTTTTTTTAACTATTGACTAACATTAATTAATGATGGTTATTACATATTATTTAGAAAAATTATAAAGAAATGGATTATGTACCAGTCTAAAGAGTAAAAAATGTATCCAAAAAAGGTTTTATATAAATTGAGAAGCAAAAATTATTTATCTGTAATAATTTATATATCCATATCACTAATATTTCGTTAAAAACACTCGTTTTTTTTTTTGAGAATATTTGTA